CAATTTGTCTATAGGTTTCTCTGTTTACGATTTTATACAAGTACACTAACTTGTTACACCGTGACATAATGAGGCGATTTGAATATCGCCATTTTGGCGCTGATAGCAGAAGTGAGCGTCCACGAAACTAATAATAAGGACAGTGTGACAAAATATATCGATAATAATTCTATATCCAGGCCCACCATTCTTTTATGTATAATTTTAATATAATGCCATACAATAAATGAATGTATCAATTTATACTTATGTCTTAGACACAAGCTTTATAGCTCATATAAAACAAAATTGACGCTAAGTTAATCTACCTATATTTTTCTACGTAACTATAGAACGAGTTTTGTTCCAAGTTTCACTATCGGGTTTGTATGGTTCGAATAAAAGGTTTAAAAAGGTCCAATGATTAGGAACATCTGTAGTATGTAATGTAACTACAAAATAAACAAAACTAACGCTTTAAAATATTAGTTGTTAATCTTCCAGCAGTCGCACCCTTGCACCGAACACAAGTAGTCGCGCGCGGTCTGTCATTCCGCAATTTTAAGTGTCTTGTTTGGGAAAACAAATGAATATTTCGACTTACTGTATAGCACTTGATTAAGAAGAGATCTTATACGTATATAATAAAATAAAAACAGTTTATTTATTTGTAATTTTTTTTATTTGTACTTAATATAACAAAGGTCTATAATAACTCGGAATTTTTGTCTCTGAGTGAAAATCACAGTTATAAATAAACAAAACCAAAAAAAATGAAAATTTTACTACTTACAATTTATGAACTTGACTATAATTATCTTAGAAATAAATCACATTCATCGTCAATGGCACTGTGTAATAGGAACTCTAAAATTTCATTTATTTTTAGATCATTCTATGTAAAATTCTAGTTATAATCTAAATTATAATAAAATAAAATAAAGAAAACACACCTAAAATCTACTAGTTATTATTTTAGAAAAGGTACAATAAACTATTCGTCATTATTAACCATAATATCCTTTTGAGATGAACATTCTCGGCGTATAACAATCACATGTTCTAGACACACGTGTTTTCCACATTTGAAACAACTATACTTTGGTTTGCGGTTCTTTTTCCTATCGCAATTGTAACAACGACCTGCAAAACGTAGAACTCGGTTTGGAAACGATGCTTCTTGGCCATTTCAGAAATATTTCAGCAGGATTTCTTTTATTATCAGTTTGATAGTTTGAAAAATAGTCGAAGAAGTATAGGTACCTCATTTAATTTTCCATGAATGAATAAGAATTTTCTTCAATAAATATTCTTCTTACAACACTTTTTTCATTGTTTTGTTCAAAAATCACTTGCGCATTTACAGTTGTAATATTGATTAAAGTATAAAACAATACCAACGGCCACGTCGACTCTAGATATTGTACGTCGATTTTATCACCTAGATGTATACTAGAAAATCTAAGTCTTCGTAATTCAGTGTCTAAAACAATAATAAATTTTATAAAAATATACTTTTATAATATTATAATAAAAGACATAAAAAGTAATAATAAGATACACAAAACATGAAATATTTACCCCGGTTTCACATTAATTGCACTGGATCGTTCTGGAACACAATCGGTCGCACGCGGAATCTGAGACCGCAAACACAAATAAGAAAGCATGTGTGCATTCGACGAATGTCACAGGGTTGCTGAGGGGTGATACCTCACCTTCCCGAGGATATCACGGAAGCACAAGCGTCTACTGTTTATGATTTTAGTAAATTGACTAAAATAAGTTCGTTGCGGACTCACAGACCGCGCGCGACCGTTGGAAGGTTAACCATTCATTCAGTCCTCGTAATAGAGAAAATCAATAAGCTATCAAAATATTATGTCTATTTTAACAATATCTGTAAGTAGAATTAGAATTTAACAAACTTTAAAATACATTAAAGAATACCATAGAACAAATCATTGACATCATAATCAATTTGCTTCAGACTATTGATATCAAATTACTTCAAAGTCATTTGAAAACCTGTAAATTTATTAATATCTGAATTATCTGTTGTCAGCGACTTTCGTTGTTGTAAAAACATGTAGGTACAAAAAAACATCGATACGCGTTATCAACCAAGAACTTGTCAACCCAATTGAATTTTATTGTTTATCAAAAATAGGTAATTTTAAGCCAAACATGTTTTATTAAGACTTTATCGAGCCTTTATAGCTCGTATAACAATAATACAATTATACTATATATATAATATGGTATATTAGTATAATAATACATTATAGAGCCTATATAGCTAATATATTAATGCCTATATCAGATAGTTTTAATTTTTTAATCTATTGTAAATATATAACCTAAATGTATACCTAAACTGTAAATCCTTTCACTTGTGAAATGTAACCACACTTCCCTTCTAGTAACGACTTTTACATTATCTCTAAAAATACTTTTTATTATATCAGTAACATGAAACATAACCGAACTACGCAACATACACTCTTTTTCTCGTTTAAAACTTTGGAATACTCATAGACAATATATGCAAAACAACGGCCATTTGTAAATTTTGTCAATATTAGTTCCTGTTACATTTAATGGTGGCACAAACGTTTGTAGGGTATAGCCAGTCCAGCGTACTATTTAATATATATGGAGGTCAATGGTGTAATACCATATTTTCCATTTTTCCTTCGAGCAAACACAGCACCAGGTAATGGTCATGTACGAAATACATAATATGATCTATTAGCTTAACATGCATAAAAATTATCATATGATGATTTTAATATATTCTTATGTAATCTTCGTTACACTTGATTTCAATAAAAATCGAGTAAAAACACGCCTTATAAAGGACATTTCTATTTTTATACAAGTGTGTGTTGCCATTTTAGAGATTTTGTCGTTAGATCTGGCGAATTTTAAGTCCTTTGGTGACATATTCGTATCATATGCTGACAGTGATATTTGACCAAACCGTTTGTTAGATCTATGTTCACAATTAAAATAATCAGACGCTTCTTTGCGGAAGTCCATTATATTTCATATGATTAATTTTTAACAGCTTTATTATATTAAGTTTCTTTAAAATACAAATACATAATTACGTTGGAAACTTTTATAATTCAGACCTATGAATATATTATATATAAATTGTTAGTTTAATAAAATGTACATAAAATTAGAAACTTATATTCAAAATTTAAAAAAGGTTTGTTGAATAAGGGCTAAAATAAATAATAAAATTAGGCGTTACTTTGCGGAAATCCATCGTATTAAAGATCTTAAATTTAATTTGCTTACATCTGCGTAATAAAATAAAATGAAGTGTCTTACCTAGTTGTAAGTACACCTCTCGATGGCGTGCATTATCCCCGTCACCGTCGCCACAGGAAAGACAAACCACCCTTAATAATACGAAATGTGTTTCTCGACATCGGTTTCTGGAGTATTTGTTAAATACACAAAACAGTGCCTCAGTGGTTTGTTCCTTAATGTTTCGTTACATGTTTCCCTTTTTTATTTTCTACTTTTAGGAATGTATCTAATTAATATAAAATGTAGCTAATATTACAAAAAGAAACATTAACTATTACATTTTCTTAACAAATTAACTTCTCCGCCATGTAATTTGTCAAATATTTCACCTCGTTCCTAAGTGGCGCAGCCCCGGTGACAAAAAACTTGTATGTGCCCTCATTGGCTATCCAATAAATCTATATATGATTGTATCATGGAGGTTAGAGAGAACGAGAACGATTGCTGTAGAAAATAGTGTCCCAGGAATATGAACGAAATAAGTGAGGCGCTGCGATCGCTAAGTTGTCTCAATAAAAGTGGCCTGTTGTGCGCTTTATAGTTTGAAATGATCTATCAACGTTTAATATAGGTGTATATAATACCATTCAAAAAATTACGAAAATATTATTATTTATTAATATTATTTATTAATAAATAAATTATAAATTATGTTTTTTATAATTTTAATTATTATAAATATTATAAATTATTATAAATGTTGAGATATTACTACTTGCAAATCTTGTAATAAACCTTAATTTTAACAATTTCTTAAAAGTTTAAGAAAAATTAATTAAAAAAAAACATAATTAATTAAGCGAATAATAATTTTACATATTCAATATTTCAATGTGCAACTACGAATCATAACGTATGAAGGTATTAACTTTGGTACTTTAAACGATGATTGACGCAAATTGTTTTTCAGAGTCTTTTTCCGATCAGATGCTAAACCACTTGCACATCCACGCACAATACGATATTTCACAATTTTTTAAATTACGGAACACGATTAATTTCTCATCAATGCCGCGAAGAAAATTTGTACATTATTTAACTGACTTCATCTAGTTGTACTCATAAACAGCTAATTTCGCAGATACTACTTACCGACGGCATTTCAGGGACAAGCGGGCTATACTTTTGCACGTAGAGATAGTCCTCCTTCTCTGTAACCTCCATGGTTAGAGAGAAAGAGAACGATTTTTTTTAAGGTATTCCTGTCACGGAATTTTCCATAAAAAAATGGAACAATGATTTCGTATGTGATTCTTATTGATTTTTTTATAAATTAAAATTAAGACGTTAAACAACTTAAAGTAAATTTAAATTAATTTATTGTTTTACGATTTACAAAAAATTTTATTTGACAAATTTTTTATTTATACGTGTGGCAGTACTTGACATGCGCGCAAGATCCGTGAGCCCGTCAATGTTTAAAAATAATTGTGCTCTTCGGCCGATGTTCAGGCTTTCAGATCGGCCAAATTGAGACAGCTGTACTTGTGGTGCAAAGAGTATAATAAGTACAATGTCCTGTGGTGCTCGTAATCACTGACGCACGACGGGGGATCAATGTCAACTCAATAATTTCAATTTTACAATCACGGTCATGAGAAGCGTTGTATAAAACGAATACTCTTTGCTATTGGAGGGCATCGTTAAAATCAATCCGCAACAAGGAGTAATACAGTACAGTATAATAACTTCTCTTTATGCAAGCAGGTGTGTGTAGTTCGTGAATTTTTAACAGAGAATTAGAAGAAATATTTTTTTAATTATTACCATAATTTGTATTTTCATATTATGGTGATTAATGTAACGTATTAAATTATTACAGTTAATTATTTGCGGATGTTGAAGACCGGCAATATGCTACGATCTGCACATAGCCTTTTTTTAATTAAAAATTTAAGGCTTTCTTCAGTCCGTGAGTTTTGAAAATTATTTTTAACTTTAAATTAACAAATATAAAATAAACATTTTATTAAGTCACAGTAATACCTACATAGTGAAAATTGTTAAATACGTGGTAAACATATAATTTTAATTGAAATAGGTAATATTAATATTTTCTTATTTGATGAATTTTTATAAATTTGTTTAAATCTTAAAAGAAGTGAATAAATAACGAAATTCTATTTTTGTTACTTGGTGTCCATGCGGATTTTTCTTAAAGTTACGTAGAGTAAAAGCTTAATTATTTTATACATTTGTAATCTTTTAAATAATTCAACTCAACGGCTGCCCCGATTTTGATCTAATTTTTTGTGTGGGTTTGAGTGGGCCCCTGAATGGTTTTGATAATTGGACCCGGCAGGTGGCACTTTTGCCGATATTCAGAAATCACCCATGCGAAACCGGGTCGGATCACTAGTATATTACATAACTGTTATTTGTTATTTACCTTCATTTTCGTGTGGACTAGTATTACTTTTGTGTTCTTAGCGCTATGCTATTATATTTGTAAGTGATGTTTTATCACATCGAATTTTATATCACAGGGGTGATTGATTCTTATTCGCCGTCACCATAAGGCGAGACATTACTTGTACCTGTGTAATGTATGTAACCTAAAATAAAAGCAGCTTCTACTTCTCCCTGTTCGTATAGGTCGTCATATAGGAAAAGTGGGCCGCCCTGCTCTAGTGCGAGTTAACAGACTGTATGATGTAGTAGGTACACATACATGCCAAAAATTTTTTCTCTCTGAAACGCATCTGTACCTACGATGAAAAATTATATCTTCGTCTTCACCGTAAATTATCAATCTAATTAGCTGTTACCCTCTTTAGCCTTGACCTTTAAAATATGCAGCTACATAATATCAGACATGTTGTCGATCTTATCGAAAAGTTTTTTTAACTTTAAAGCCGATTTTCCACTGTGGGATATACCTAATATAATTTATATTACATCTCAAGATATAAATTAATATCGCTCACTGTACTTTTAAATGGAACCGTTTCCACTGAGATATAATATATATTACATCCCAAACTATAAATATTTTTTCGATCGACCGAGCGATATTTTCATATTATATTTCACCTCCTGTATCCCGCACACCCTTCCGCGCCTCCGCTACGTCTTCAGATCGTCCAATGACGAACGCCACACTGGTTAAAAGATATATCTCACAGTGTGAAGGGCAATCGTGGGATATAATTTATATTCGGGATATAATATATAGTGCGCCCTCCTTTCTGCCATGCGCCCTCCTTTCTGCCAAGGAGGGTCGCGTTCGTATACGGCTTAGAGATCTCTAGTCAGATCGTTAAGCCATTTCATAAAAGGCGGTGTTTAGTGGGTAAAAGTCTCCACATAACCACGCAGCCGGCTGCGTGGTATGCTATGAGCATTCACCGCCTCCCTCCCCCGCTTTCCGGAGGGTTGCCCATATTTGCTTCGGGCGCAAAAAAAAAATATATTATATCCCATAGTGGAAAGCCAGCTTTAGACTTCTGAAGCTGTTGAGCTTCTCGAGCTCGGGTGCATGTATAAAAAAACATTTCTATCTGTTACGGTTGTTGTAAAAGACCACTGCTATACATCACAGGCTATCCTCATTTGTTGCCTCATAGGTACGATTTCGCCATAGTTGTCACACTTGGCAGGTGGGTTTCGCTGTTTATTGTCATCGTGAGTGAGTTTATCAGGGAGATGCTGCTGCCCATTTCTTGTTTCAGTATCATTCTCTGTATTTTGAGTAGACTTGAGAAATTACAATCTTAACCTTGTCTAAATATTATATTTTTTCTTCAAATTCGTATTGGGATCACTTTTAAAGTACATCCTATTTAATGAAAAATGAAACTTCAAAATCGGTTTACCATTGGCGAAGACATCGCGTAACATACATCCAAAAAAAGTACAGTCGAATTTAAAACGTTCTCCGCTTTTTTAAGTTGAATAAAAAATTCCAAAATAGTACCAAAATATGAATATTGTTATTATATCGAATAGGTTTTCTCGAGCGTTATCGGATGGCGCAATAAAAAGTAAAAGGCAAAGATGTTTTTCTATAAAATATGTTTGGTAAAAGGTAAAAGAACAGTCTAAGTACGTCACTTTCCTTTGAACAGGTTTCACCTCATTTTTTACAGTGTTTAAACTAGGGAAGAGTCCGTCGCGTTGCTTCTATGCATGTTTTGATTAGTAGTATCTACGGGTAATAAGGCCTAGCTAAGGAAAATTCGAAAAAAAGTAAGAAGTATTTTATAATTTTGCCTACAGATTTTAATAAAAATAATTGGCTTAGTACAGTTTCTATGAGGGGAGGTCAAAAAGTTAGCAGTACAGGGAAGGATAATGAAATGAAACATTAAACAATTTTTTCTTTTCGATGTATTCTTTATTAAACCTGATACATTTACTTATTAGATCTGTCAAATAAATTATTAAAGCCGTCTTAAAAAAAAAACATTGCCGACTTCACTTCATCATCGTCCCCAAATTTTTTCTCATGCAGTTCTTTCTTCATTTTTGGAAACAAGTAATAGTCGCTTGGGGCCAAGTCTGGGCTGTAGGGTGGATGGCGCAGGTGTTCAAAAGCGCACCGGTGAGTGGCAGCCGTCGCAACATGGCTTGTGTGCACGGGCGCATTGTCGTGCCTTTTTTATTTAATAGCTTCTTTTAACTGATCCAGTAAAGAAGCATTGTATTCTCCCGTTATGGAAACACCACGTTCCTTATAATCAATCAAAAGTATACCTTCTGTATCCGAAAAGATAGTCACCATGATCTTTCCGGCCGATTGAGACACCTTATACTTCTTAAGAGGGGGTGTGCCTTTTTTTATGCCACTACATCGACTCTTGCTTAGGCTCAGGTACGTAATGGTGTACTAAAGTTTCATCGTCAGTTGCCATTCGGGCCATAACTTCCTCCCTTTGCTCTCCATAGCGTAGCGGTCCAAAAACTCGCAACAACTAATTTCGACGCGCTCGTGTTTTTAATGTGCAAGAAGCATTCTCGGAACCCATCTTGCACAGACTTTAGTCATGCCGAGGTGCTGATGTAGGATGTTTAAGAAAGGTTGTTTCTGATACTCTAACTAATGCTGCAAGCTGTTTTTTCTTTAGCCGGACATTCTCCGATACAAGTTTTTCAACTTTTTCGATTATTTCTGACGTGGTAGCCTGGATCGGTCGTCTTCAATGGAGTCCTTGTTTGAAAAGGGGGTGCCATTTATAAATCATGATTTTCCCAGGAGCGGATCTCTTGAAAAATGGTTTGTGGTGTCTTTCCTTGTTTGGTGAGAAACTTAATGACGGCGCGATATTCAATTTTCTCCATAGTTTCTTTCCGATTGACTTGTTTACTCGTTTATAACTTAAAAGCTAATGACCCGATTAAGCTGAAACTTGGTAATATATACTAACAGTGTCACTAAGTAGCGCCTACCTGGATGAGTAAACTCACCCTCGCCAACCCCGCCATTCCGTGAACTTTTTAACCTCCCCTCGTATAAAGTATGAACGAACAATTGTGACATTTGCCATAAACATAACATAACATAAACATAAACACTCACGCCTGTCACCCAGAGGGGTTGGCAGAGATGACAGAGACGGCAGTTTTTGTCATAAAGAAAAACAAAATTAAACATTTTTAAAAATCTTTCAGGTAGGCCTGATTTTACTATGGTAGGGTAATAAGGCTTACTGTTTTAACGAATACCTATAATCAATCTATACGTAATATAATTAATATTTGTGATCTATAATCACATGAATATAGCAATTATGACTAATTGTTCTAAAAAAATATATAAATTATCTTAAAGTCATTAGTATAATGATGAACAAACTGACAAACAAATGCACTCCTCGTGATTATCATCGGTGCGTCGGTTGTTCTCGATTGGAGATGTGGCCTATAAAGTATAATATCTATGTTGAGATGAGTATTAGGTTGAGTTGAGAGTTGGGTTGATTGTTGTTGATTGGGTTGAGTGTCCTCCCAACCGAATTTATGTCACAGCGGCCGGTCTATACGGAGACTAGCCTATCTGCACGGTACACAATTATAATGTCCGAAAGTATGCGCAAGTACAGGTTTCTTTGAACTATTTGGACAGCTGAAACCAGGTCGTTTTCTGTCTACTACATTAGTAACAACAGCGTACGACTTATTTGCATTTATAACATTTTAAAAGTGATATACTATATAATTAAACGAAAAAAAAACTGCACACGAAGAAAGAATATAATAACGCCTATGGTGAAATTTAGTAGGTCTTAACAACCACCTACCAAGTATTTAAGAGAAACCAAATTATTAAAAAAATTGACGGCGATATGTATGTATTCAAATCTTCAAGATCAACATAACATTTATTCGCAAAGATAAGATAAGACGCAAGAAAGATTATGATTTTAGATAGCTAAGTGTATTATTACATAACGTATCTAAGATTTATTTAAACCGACTATCTAAGATTTATTATTGGTATAGTGCGGTCGTATCTTATGAACTTAGATAATGCAACTCTGCTGGCAGGACGCGGGGTAGTGCGTCTCTGCAAACTTGTAGAGACATTATTGTATAATAGGCGTCTGTTGTTATTTCCTTGAGCGAGAGCGGTTATAATAAATAAGATTTTTGTTACTTAAGCCTTATTAGCCGACGGGCCTTATTAGCCGCAGGTACTATATTTCTTATGTTTTCATAATATTTTATTAGGCGGATGGAGCTGCAGGGCATGGTTTCGACTCCATACTGTTTTATTTGTTGCAAGCTTACATATTAAAAGATGTGTAATTTTTGTTTTTAGAATTCCTCCACTTAAATCACCACTTATAATTGCGTTTAACAATTTAAGTGGCCACAATCATCGTTGATTGACCTTGGTTTGCTTGCGTTTTAAGCAATCGCCTAGCCTCTGCTGCTCGGCTGTCAAGGATCATCGATACATAAGATACAATGAAAACAGTAAAAAAATCGGACTTTACAGCTAAACATGTGAAACGCTTAAAAGCAAAAAGTTGTGTTCGATTTTTTTTTATTAAACATCAAATAAAATATCAGCTTTTTGATTTTACAAAAAAATTCTGTGTTCTCTTCATAGCCTTCATGTTTTCGGAAAAAGCCTACCTCACTCATGGCATTGCTATTTATCTGTTCGTGAACTTTCGAAGATTGACCCGGACAGATAAAAAAAAAATTTTTCATATATTATAAGTAACCATTTTGTGTAAATTACCCCCCGAGGTTTAATATAAGTCTGATATTTAGATATTACAGCCACATTTCAATTTAATTAAATGTATAGATTAAGGGATGTGTTTTGAACGTCAGTAATTTCTAGTTTCCAGAAATTCCTCTGTCGGGGTAAAAGGGGAACCTGCGAAACCGAACATACAAACTCCCGTGCCTGGGCCAAAATCACAACAACTTTTAGAAGAATTAAGTTCACTTCAGGTCAGTATACAATGTTGTTTTCTGTTAATAAAAGATAATTGAAAATATTAAAATCCTATATACGTCCCACTGTTAGGTACAGATCTCTTTTAACTTGTTAACTTTAATATTATTATAATAGAAATTCAACATCTCGTACTCATATCACGATTTATATAAAGTATAAACATTCCTGACCTTTAGAAAGACAAAGCGTTGTTGATTGAATAGATACTATTACTTACGTAATTGAATATGCTCTTTTATAATAATTTTGAGAGAAAAATACTTTGTAGATATATACTTAGATGAAATTCAAATTGTAGCAACATGAGAATGAGATCAAGACATTTTTGTTTAAGTAAGATAAAACCATCGACTCATATAGTTCCATCTTAAAGAATAGCATCATTACCGCCCTTCATAAGTCCACTGCTGAACATAGGCCTCCCTCAAGGAATGCCACAAAGCACGGTCACTATGTCGCCTCTCCATCTACTGGGGGGGGGGGGGGTCGTCCCACACTTCGCTTAGCGGTACGAGGCTACTCAAGAACTATTATTACAAAATATAATCATTAAGAATATAATAATACTTACTTACTTTGATAAAAATATTATCACTCCGGCTAGCAACAATATTAAAGAAAACAATTTTGGCTTGGCTCAATCACATGAGTAAATAAACCGACCTCTGTGGCTCAATTACTAAGTTGTTGTTAACATAACGTGATCAGAATTTTTTTTAACTGTCGTAAGCCGGAATTTGATAACTATCCCACCTGATGATAGGTGGTTGGTATATATATATATATATATATGTATGTATGTGTGTGTGTGTGTGTGTGTGTGTGTGTGTGTGTGTGTGTGTGTGTGTGTGTATAAAAACCTTAGTGACTACACGAATACCTCCCTTACCAAAATCTTTATAATTATATAAAAATTTTCTTAAGGGAAGTGTCATTAGGCGAAAACGCACACGTACAAAACCTCAATACTATACGATTAAGGTTTTGTACTACACTTAATATTTCATTATTAAAATTCTAACTTATAGCTATGACTACACAAAGAAGAACAAAGTTCACAAGACAAAATATTTTTTAATTTAAAAATAATCAAAAAAATATTATGACTCTAATAACTTTTAAGGAGAAGTATTAGGTTTTTTAAACGTAGACTGGTGACCGAACGGACATTGTGTAGCCTGCTCCCTAAGCGCTACAACGTGACGTATTAGTCTTGAGTTAGAGATGAACCATTATTTGGCTATAATATGCGTGTGGGAAATTTTATTTATAAAAATCCTTAAAAAAGCAAATGACGATGTAGGTACTACTCGTTTTTACGTCAAAGTCTGTCGATCCGATGCAGAAAAAAGCATGCCCAACTATAGAAATAATTAAGGAGTGCCTAAAGTGGTTCTACACTTGATATTTCCTTTTTAACCTTTTTAAAAAATTTAAAAAAAATTTAAATGGATTTTAAAGAACTGATAATTAATTTTGGGGTCTCTTGGAGTAATCAACTTCATTGAGTCCCCTTCTTTAAAACACCTGTTTTGTAAGAAGTTGTAATATTAGATTACAATATAAGTAGGTACTACTGTCTTTCACATACTTTCTTGAGCTTATAATATTTTATTATAAAATCAAAAAGAGTGTATTCGTGTTCAAAAAGCAAGTAAAATTGTCTCGAGTAAGTTACTTTGGCTATCAAGAGCCTTTTTTGATTAAAACAGAAAAGTTACAAAACTAAATATTCAATTATTAATGTTTGGCCGTGGAAGGAAAAGGGGAGGATCTGCCACTGTGCAAGGAGATCTAAACTCAAGCGTCATATGACGATTATCCAGCTTTGTAAGTTATGAAAGTTCAGAAATCCATCATTTTAGACTGTAGATTCGTTATACTCGATAATATTTTATCAAAAAAATAAATTTCTTCAATATTGCAGTAGTTAGCAATTGTCAGCATAAATTTCGTCTTGCAGTATAGTCTCTTGTTTGCAAACTTGCAGTTTATAGACGGGTCACGTGGTAAGGGTGATTTGTGTTACTGGTATAGTAATAATATTTAGAAATTCATAGCATAACAATGGCGATTCTTTCACGAGACGCTGTACCTACATATGACACACATGGTCGAAAGTATCGATTCACCCGTTTGTTGTGTTATTGAATCCGGTTATTCTATTTATCCACACTAAAAAAGCCACCCCAAATGGGGTAAATAATCAGAAGTCGTAAATTATTTTTTGCTACTTTTTTTCCTTTGGTTGTGTACAGCGATGTGATGTGATACTTAGTAGACATTAACATACCTATAAAATATATTATACATAGGTAATTCATGTTTGAAAGGTCAAAACTGAAATAAAAGGAGTGCTTCACAAGACTACAAATTAATTGAAATCTTGGCATAAAACAAATGAAGTTAGAGACACACATCCAAATTTAGTATCGTTTTTGGAATGCTTTCAAAAAGACGCCAAATACTCGCTAACACATCTGTTGTAGCAAAGATTTTAGAAAACGATTGCAAATGTACATTAAAAGAGACAGATTTTAGAATCAGAATGATCAGTGAAAACCTAACGGATTAGTAAGCTGAAGTGGAAATGGGCCGGCCATATAGCTCGAAGAACCGGCAACAGATGAGGAAGAATGTTTCTCGAGTGGCAGCCTCGTACCGGTAGGCGAATTGATGTGCGACCCCCACTAAATGGAGTTGTCCGACTTAAATCATATCGAGCACCGCTGGGACATATTACCACGAAAAGCTTCAAGAGATTTCCCGCCAAATTTGACAATGTAACAACAACTTTACGAACACTTGCAAATAACATGGGACCTCATACCGCAGCAAGACATTGACAATTTAATTTTAATTATGAACAATCGATGACGATATGTAATTTATTAGATTTTATAAAAAAATTAATTTTAGTAAAAATTAATAGTTTTTTTAAGAAGAAATGAAGTTTTTTTATCATTCTACGTTATCTACATCTACGACAATTAAAAACATTGCTTTTTATTTAAAAGAAATTTACTAAATGTTTTTATTTTTATTTCTATACTTAACTACTTACTAGACTTAACACAGAGTTAAAGGAAGTACTTAACTCTTTGTTCTGCGATTTTTTTTTCCGGAAATACACACATGAATATTCTACAGATTTATTATATGCATAGATAATATAGCTTTTTAATAGTACTCGTATATCATAGAAATCGCAGTTTTGCTCATTGGTCGTTTTTTTGGTTTTCAGCAAACAGGTTCGGTACAGCTTTTCGCCGACTATGACAAGTGCATTGGAAATTATTTCGTTGACGCCGATGGAAACACGTTTCTTGACGCATTTACACAAATATCGTCCGTTCCTATCGGGTACAATCATCCAAAGCTGATGGAAGCCTTTAAGGATGAGCATTATTTGGTAAGATCCATATAAGTACTTTAATTAAAAGGAAATTTTATAAAATATTTTCACTGAGTGTATATACATTTTGAAAAATGATTAATGTAAAATATCCTTAGTTTTTCACTTTGTCTTTTAAAATAATTTGTATATGACAGAGTCGTCGTCGCGACGTGTTAGTCTGCAACTTCTTGCAAACAGCACGCGCAGAGGTGCGAGCATATTACGCCACTGCCTCGATAGTTAATACTCAAAGCTCGCTAATCGCTGCTACCACATGAGTAAAGAAACCATATAGAGGCAAAGCTTCTGAGGAGCTGTCAAAGTCTTTACCTATTTTGGTAGGGTTGACACAGGAGGATAATTTAAATACAGTGTTAACAGTATGCTGCACGCTCTCCCAGAATACCAGCGTCAAATAGCAGCTAAATGCTGCTGTGTTTCGTATGGTGAGTGTAGAGAACCGGAGACCCTTTTTACTGGAAAAGAGGCATTCCATCTTAGTCCTCAAGGGTGACAACGCATCTGCATTTTGATTCGCAAACGAGGATAGATGTAGATATCTAGGGCTACAGCAACCACTTACCATAAGGCTGTGCAGGACTGTGTGCTCGCTTGTCACCCTTTTCCTATAAAAAATAAATAAGCAAAACGTTTATCAGCTTTTTATTATGTACATATGATAGAATCTTTTTACAAACTGCTTATAAACGAAATTGTCAATAGATGATTGAATCTTACGTACATATGATAGAATCTTTTACAAATGCTTTACGAAATTGTCAATAGATGTTGAACTACGTTTTATAGACCCAGTATCCGTCGATCAGCTAAAGTTACCATACCAATCGTTCGACATCGATCGACGTCGATCAATTGAATCGATCGATTGGTGTGGTAGGACCTTAAAAGGCTTTTAACTAACACTATAACTTTATATAACATTTAAAATTTACCATAAGTTTTAAATGTAATATTAATTATAAATAAAATATAATAAATTGCGACGTTATCGACCGAGTGGGCCGACTAAATAAGTTTTAAGAAACACCGCACACTGCAGACTTTCTATCGGGCGAGAGTTTAGTCGTTTTGTTAATCAGTATGCAAGAGCGTAAATTATAACCATAAGTTATCAGCCGATAAATCAGTTTGATGGGCTACACGATTTCCTTCAAACTAAACTGTTGGTCAAATATATAGGTCACCTGTTAAATCAATATGGCGTTATTCGACGCGCGCATACACGCCGATTGTTTAGACTAATTTCGGCCGACTCGGTCGATAATGTAACTTCGCTCAGAATTTTGAAAATTTTCCTTGCAATAATCTGATACTGTATATAGGCACAATATTATCGGTTTTTCTTGTTGATCCGTCTCCTTCGTTATATAATAGCAATAATAACGACATTTCTGTGCAAGATTTTAGGTTTCATTGCGCGACTACTCACTTCAAGAACTGCTTACTAATTAAAATTTTTTCGCAAACGATCAACCGACTGTCAGCTTGTAAGCACTCATACTCACCCCTAACCCGACTGTTTAATTGGCCCAGTGTGCGTACTAGCAGCCCAACCCGACTAAATTCTCGCTCGATAGAAAGTTTGCAGTGTGCGGTTTCTCTAAAGGGAATCGTGTAGCCCATCAAACTGATTTAACGGCCGATAACTAATCGTTATAATTCGCGCACTTGCATACATTTAAAGAAACCGACTAAACTCTAGCCCGATAGAAAGTCTGCAGTGAGCGGTGTCTTTTGGTTTATGTTATGTAAGAGAGACCACATTCACAATCAAACTTGTACACTCCTGTATCTTGCAGAGGGGTATCACTTGACTGATGGTAATAACTGACTAATCTTCTTCAACTGCTCGAAGTATATCCGCGGCAGTTTTCCGCTACTGCCTAACTGACAGTATCTGGTTGGCGTTCCCAGTTAGCAGTCCCATTGGGTGATGCAGCCGATGGGAATGCCAACTTACACAGGATATCTTGCTGCTATGTATGTAACCAAGGAGAAGGAGTAGAAAAAAGGGTAACATAGGCGGTTCGAGATACAGTTAGCTCATTCTGCGTAAATCAAAATCGAATCGAATCGATCAAAATCGAACCGAAATTAATAATTGAATATAGACGGTACTCAGTCTTAACTTTGTTATCGAGACGTCAAACACCTCAGTATTTCGGTGACCATGGGTGCCGCAAAGCAACCGAAACCGCAAGAATTAAAAATAAGTAAAATAAAATGCGATGAAATCCGTAAAAATAGTTTTATTCAATAATATTGGCGTACGCTGTGTCAAACATCCAGGGTACGCAATTCGTAAGCCATTTATCGTAAAAGATCAGGGGCCCGAGTCTAACCTCTCAGCTCCAGTAAATGTAAAGATAGCGCAAAGCTCAATTTTTCTGCTTCAAAATATTCTGATAGCCGTATAGTACGTTCATGTTAAGAAGAGTTGTGTGTCCGCTTACAGGTAGGGCTACCTGGAATTAATTCAACAAATGACTGGCTAGACCACGCCGAAGGCAGCTTGAAGAAACTTATAGCTCTATATGAGCCAACCATACGTAGTTACGTGCGACAATTAGCCACTAATGGCAAGAGCCGTGGCCTCGACCCAGTTTTTTCGACTAAACGAGACAGTAGGACGGGGCGATTTCGCTGTCGGTTACCTTGTGATCATTCCACTAGAACAAGCGAAGAAGAGCATTTCGCGGTGAAGATGATCCAGTGTAACATTGTGATAAGCAGCGGTATTATCCGTTCGCATACTTAACTCATTTTGTAACACCAAAAAAGTATGCAGTGACGTTACACTTTTGTTACATTTGCGATTGTGACTAACACGTATTACTTACGTTACGGTATGTTCGAATTGTGTTTTGCATTGATAAAGGCCCCCCAAATACAAAACAAAAGAAAAAATATGTATTTGCGATACGGTGCGTCATGCATTATTGCTGATAATGTTTGTTGCGTAAGCAAGAACATAAGTTGAACGTACTATCACACTATTATGGTTAGTAAAAATAACATCTTATTGCGACTTTGCGCGGTGCGTCATTCACGTAGTAACTTTTATCTAGTCTGTGGTGTCATTTTATTTTATTTCTGATAAAGATTAATTGCGTAAGCAAGGCAGCAAGTTGAACACATCGACTCTCACACATTGTTTTTTTTTTTTAAATAATATTTTATTATATTTATATCTGACATCAGAAGTGAGATAAACTCCCTGTTGTCTTTTACATGTAAATTAGAAGGTATATTACGGTTTAGAAGAACTGTGATACTCTTTTGTGTTAATGCCTTTCTTTTATTTTAAATGCTGCAATTAAATGTAAATTTTGCCTCATTTACGATATTACGTACCAGTTTAATCTAAACGTTTACGTAAAATGTTATCAATAGTTTCCTAATCTATAATTTCTAGAGACTTATTAACTAAAATGATTTAGAAAGTTTTTACTTTACTTGTACTAATCTTAAAAACCGATTAATGTACACGCCGAAATGTCTGTTGGACTCTTAATATCGTGTAGGTTCACGTAAACGTAAAGGGATCGTTTTGCAAGATGTAAGGTACCATAAAGAGTAACTCTAACAAATAAACAGTTATTACCTATTCGTTTATTTACTGGATAAATGAAACTTACAAATATTTAAGTAATACTTTATTTTATTACGTACCACTTTTTTAAATTGCAGATTTAATCAATATCAATAGAACTTAAGTTTCATTGAACTCTTCCAAATGGCCTTGCCAGGAACAAGGCTTCTTAGAAGGCCATTATAATAAATCAGTAATTTAACACTAAAGTTTATATTCATAAGAATTTGTTATCACATGGCAATAACAACGATATTTTAATAATTGGCCTTCGAAGAAGCATGGCCTTCCATGGTCCATCTACCTTACTTAGTAGCGGAATAATGCGTAATAATTGTAAAGTTTTCAATGTACAAAAGCGTGTGTCAGTGCCCAGTGCAGTGAAAAACTTTTATCAATGACAAACTATCGAGTAATAAAATTAACATATGTTCCCAGGCATGTACACTCTAATTTGATTTGAGTGAAACTTACGTCAGGTCTTATTTATAACCCTATTAACAAGGGTATACGAGCAATAAAAGAAAAAGTTTTTTTAAATATAAAATTGTTCCAAAAACGGAACAGTACGATAGTATGCAACTGGGTTTTTACACTTATCTATTGGGGGGAAATAAAAAAAATTTGTACAGAAATAAAATATTTTTTAAATATCTGCTGAAAATAGAAAGACCATTATAAGGCTTCATCGTCATTATAGCCCTTCGAAAGTCCACTGCAGAACATAGACCTCCTTTAAAATATACGACAAAGCACGGTGCTGAGTCACCTATATCCATTGACTTCCTGTATTTCTTATCAGGTCGGCACTCCATCTCGTGGGGTGCAGGCCTTCACTTTATTTATCAGTACGAGATTGCCCCTTGTCTTCCCCATCGGTTGCCTGTTCTTTAAGTTGTATTGCCAAAAGGAAAAGCTTTAGCTTACTGATCCGTTGGGTTTCATCAGTTTTATATTTATTCAAAATTATTTTGTACAAACACTATGTAGTAACAATAACATATATAAAAATTATGCTTTTTGTTGATTTCTTCCTTTTTTGTTTACTTCTATTTTGCGGCGAACTGAAATCGTATGTCAGCCTATGCCAATAACTGATGCGTAAACAAGTGATTTATAGTGACACATTCTTCAGCCCTACTATTTTCATTAGTACTGTCATTATTTTTGAGGGGAGTTATAGCAACGTCCGCAGTTATTACGGTGTCATTTTGAAAATCTTAATCCAAATAGTACATAATAGTAAAACATAATACCCTATATAAATATTACATAGGCAAGGGATATGATCCTACTGATCCAATAATAGAACACAAAAAACTAAATTAAATAATACTTTAGTTTTATGACTGACTAGGTGTGCCCCGCGGTTTCACCCGCGAATGTTACGCGTCTGAGCTGCGCGATATGACACCTCCCTTAAAGCTAAATTTACAGCATATATACGTCCCACCGCTGGGCACAGGCGTCCTCTCACTTCTGAGAGGGTTTTGGAACAAGGAAATGTCCGCCGCGCTGCCTTAATGCGTATTGTGAGACTTCACATGTCTTCGAAATATTTTTTTTCTTTCTCAGATATGCAGGTTTCATTCACCGCCGAGCGCGTGGTAAATATAATGGCACGTGGACACCTCGCTTACGACTTTATGTTACTACACCTCGCGCACCGGCGCGGCGGTCACTGCTAGTTTCTCTCTGTTCTCATCGGTCACAAGTCACTTTTTAATTTTCAGTATTTTTTGTTATTTTTTTATTAATGGAGTAAAGATGTTGTGGTAAAATGATTGGTAAAGACGGCTTTTGTAAAACATTATATTTACGTATCACTAACCATTACACCAACGCACGCGGATATAGCAGTTCGGAGGCGCTTTTTTTCTAACTTGCATAACGAAAATTAATATTTAAGGCTAGATGTGAGGTGTGACCTAACGCTAGATAGCCTATACTACCTCATGATTCTGCCTATAATATGCAAAAAAATCTAATCGGGCTGGTAGTTAAAGTAATTGGCGTGTTTAAACAAACCAAAAAAAAAAAACTCTCGCTTTATTATATTATAAATATAGATAGTAATAATAAGTCCATATGCCATAATAATATATAGTAAAATAGTAGATATAATTGATAAACTAAGAGCACTTAAAACCATTAAAACTTATATTCAGACTCTACTTTTCTATGAAGAAGTTTAGCATTATAAAATCTATACAAAATTCTCTATCTTGTGGTCTAAACAAAAGTCAGGTTTTACTTCTTTACGGAAAGATTTTATTGTATTTTGTTAACAAAAAAAAAATATACCAAGCGAATGTCGGTAGCGTGAAATTCACAATTATTTCAATATATATTACTCGAAATTATTTACGTAAAAAGAAAAATTATAAAATACAAAAAATTGATTTGTTAACTAAGGTATTGTTCTAGAGTTAAGAACGCAAAAACGTAATGATTATACCTCGTTAATTCTGCATTCTTTTGTTGTAGAAACAACTTGTCAATCGACCGGCCTTGGGTGTGTTCCCTTCTTTGAGCTGGCCTGAAATGTTGCAGAAAGTTTTAATGCCAGTTGCACCCTGCGGCTTGAATTGCGTAGCAACGATGATGTGCGGGTCCTGTTCTAATGAGAACGCATTTAAAAGTGTCTTCATGTGGTATCGTAACAAAGAGCGTGGAGGAAAAATCGACTTCACACCTGAAGAAATGGAGTCTTGTATGATTAATCAGCCACCAGGAGCTGCCAGTCTATCTATTCTGTCTTTTAAGGTATGGTAATTTCATATAATATTAGAGTGAGAAATGAGATAAAAAATCGCTCAAGACATAAAATGGTCTATAATAACTTTTGTTTGTTTATAAAGTTGTTATACCTGTTGTTATACTAAAACCACACAAAATAAGTAATTTTAAGTCGATAGCCAAGGAAAACCGTTATTTTGATTCAGAGGAGATCGGGAGGTATTTAGTCCACACAAATATATTCCTCCGTTTTCTACCTGGATAATGACACTAGAGCAAATATGTTTTAAGATGATTTTATACCTACTATTGCCGTGTTGTTAAGTTTTTATTTTTTTATTTTTATAAAACAATAATTTAAAAAATTGAAACCTTTAAAAATTACAAAAATCGTTCAGTTATATCTCCGTTACTTCTAACAAACAACTTTATTAAACATAAAAGTTAAAGAACACATATTAGACATAGCTAAAATTTTTAATGTTCTTAAAAATTTCAATCGGTCCAGTATTGAAGGAGGAAACAGAGGCTATATAAGGGATATGATGGACTTCGTTAATTTTTCATAGTTACCTAAAATCAGAGCGAACTACATTTTTCTTTTTGTCGGTTATGTAGCTCGGTCGTTTAGACACAGTCCAAGCAGCACACAAGAGTTTTATGAACGTCAATCAAGCCCACACAGAACTTAGAGTTTTTTTAGAAACGTATAAGAGTGTAGAAAAGGGGTTGTATCCTTATAAGAGTGGTTTAAGACTTATTATACAGTTCAAGCTGTATAAAGTCTGTATTATGTGCTCATCACAAATGTACCCAGATAGGATCTAAAACAAAAAATATAGGAAAATCCAAAAGTACAGACCTCGATCGCTCAAATTAACAAAAAAATATTGATAATGTAAACAATAAATATTTAATTAATGAATTTTATTAGGGATTATCCAAAGGGTAAGTGAAAGTTTTCGGTCGGTTCGCTATGATTAGTTTAATAATGTCCTCCAGATCGAATTATAGTCACGAAGGCCGGAGACTAGCCATCTGCACAGGATGTGATTATAGTACCCAAGTGTATGTTTTGTTTTTGCGCCCGAAGAAAATATGGGCAACCCTCCAGAAAGCGGAGGAGGGAGGCGGTGAATGCTCATAGCATACCACGCAGCCGGCTGCGTGGTTATGTGTAGACTTTTACTCACTAAACACCGCCTTTATGGATTGGCTTACCGATCTTACGAGAGATCTCTAAGCCGTATACGAACGCGACCCTCCTTGGCAGAAAGGAGGGCGCAACGTGTCCAAGTGTATGTGCAAGCACAGGTGCGCTCTCAATTCCCTCATTCTCATAGTCCGATGGCACAGTAATCCGACACGACCGAAGAGAGGTCGAGCGCAGAACCTACGGCTTTAAGTGCTTTCCGAGACACGGAGGTAAAAACACCGCTAACTTTTTGACTCCCGGATACGATGGAGAATTTCTGGACAGAAAAACCCAATAACTGATTTTGCCCGACCCAGGATTTGAACCCAGGGCCTCATGGTCAGCAACTGGGTTTACGACCACTATACCAACGAGGCATTCATTTATTGCTTTAGTTACTTGTGATCGTGATAAAACACATATCTACAGAATGACTGAAGTAATAATTTTATTGCGTTTTTCTAAATTTATCATATACGTAATTCAATCTAGGAATAATCGAATAAAATTACGAAAAAAAAATAATTAAAAAAGGAAATTTTAAATTAAGTACCCCCCTTGATCTACTAGCAAACACTTAACTGATTAAAACATTGTAATTGTTTATCTCAGAATAATTATATACTTACATATGCGCACTTTGTCAACGGAAATTGAAGTTTATTTCAGATAATAATATTTCATATTTGTCTAAAAACAGTAACTGTCATAAATAAAAATACAAGTGCGTGACATACTTATCTTGTCGACTAACCGACCAGCCGAAATCTGCAGAGGCGCTAGCGGAGCGAGCCCGAGCAGATCCATAGCTGCGACAGTTTTTGTTCTTATTTGCTGGTCTAGTGGTATAGATAGCATCCTTTGTTTGAGCATGAATATTGAGGTATATGAGACTCGACCGGGGAAGGACCACGCTCGCTTTTACAGTACAACAGAGTAAAATAGTAGCTTAATGCTGCTGTGTTTCTAAGGGTGAGTGTAAAAGACCGGAGACCCTGTTTACTGGAAACGAGGCATTCCATCTTGGTCCCCACGGGTGACAACGCATCTGCATTTTGATTCGTAATTAAGGATAGATGTAGATGTCTATGGGCCACAGCAACAACTTACCATCAGGTGGACTGTGTGCTCGTTTGTCGTCCTATCCTATAAAAACACACTCATATAATTTCTGTAAGAACAGCGTTTCTTTCAGCGAATTTATATTAACAGTTTTTGAAGTTTAGGTATGAACTAATTGGTAGAATCCCATTTCAGTGTGGGAGGTCATGGGCAGGTATCACCCTATTACCTGGTACCGGTATAAGTACAGGGTGTAAGGCATTTCATCTCAGTCCGTAGAAGCGACAACGACCTCCTTAGTTTGAAGTTAGCTGCAAGATTTCATGGGTATCGTCAGATAGACCTGTTGGATACTTCAGTTTTATAAAAAAACTTTATAAATGCTTATATAGTTAACATTTTTATAGCATTTATTTTCGGACTACAATGTTCTGAATTACACCTTTTACTGGATACCCAGATACGATATTGCAACATTTATTAAATTAGAATAGCCGTTCAGCGAGGAAACGCAGTAGCAACCTTCGGATATAGCACTAATGATTCTATTAAAATATAAAAAAGGAGTAGGTACAATTTTTACGTTGTAGCATGAATAGGTCGGCTCGACCGGGGAAGAACCACACTCTCACAGAATACCAGCGTAAAATAGCAGCTCAACGCTGCTGTGTTTCGTATGGTAAGGAAAATGGAGGCCCATTTTACTGGAAACGAGGCATTCCACTTTAGTTCTCACGGGTGCCACAGGTAGGTCACAGAGCAAAGATGTAGATGTATATGGGCCACAGCAACCGCTAAACTCATAAATCATCAGGTGGAATGTGTGCTCGTTTGTCGTCCTTATACTATAAAAAAATTCTGAGGATAGTGAAAAAAATACACACGACTTTATAGTATAACCGGCTACTGATTTTAGCAAAAATAAACTGAACGTAGATTTTTTTTAATTTCAGGGTGGTTTTCACGGTCGGACTTTTGGTGCGCTGTCCACTACAAGGTCGAAGCCTATACATAAGCTAGATTGTCCAGCGTTTGATTGGCCCGTGGCGCCTTTTCCAAGATACAAATATCCACTTGATCAGCACCAACGCGAGAACTGTGAGGAAGATCAAAAGTAAATAACACTTCTTTTAAATATGCGTTAATCATATCTCTAGTAAAGTTTTATTCGCTGCCGTTTTTAGGAGAGAGTAACTCCACAATCTGGTTTAATTCGGCTGCCATTGCTGTTAGTCGGAGTTCCCAATGTCTAGTCCTCGCAGAAGGTCGCAGCTCACGAGTATTATTACGTAGTATTAAAAACATTGGCAATGTCTAGGGACATTGCTAGCAGCACTCCACCATTTAGCAGCGCCTCATCCGATTGGGCCAGGCCGTTTAACCTCTCAAACACCAAGCGGTCAAATTTGACCACTTCGATATTCCGTCAAAATTCAAGCGGTCAAACATGACCGCACCCACCCACAGCACTTATATATAGAGCACAGCACTTATATAGTCATTTAATTGTTAATTTAGTTTTAAATAAAAGTTTATCAGTTTCTAGAGTATTATATTAATACACAAAACAACGAGCCGTGGTAGCTCAGATGATTAACGCTCGCTGTAAATATAAAGGAACGCGATTAACCAGGGTTCGATCTCCGCCGGCACCATTGAAATTGTTAATTGCAATTTTAAGTACTGATTTACCACGTGCTCGGCGGTGAAGGAAACATCGTGAGGAAACCTGCATGTCAGAGGGATAAAATAAAAAATATTTCGAAGACATGTGAAGTTCTCCAACACGCATTGGGGCAGCGTGGCGGACAATTTCATGCCCTAAAACTAAAACTCTCTCAGAAATGAGGGGGAGGCCTGTGCCCAGCAGTGGGACGTATATAGGCTGTAACTTTTTTTTTAAATTTTACACAAAGCAATGCCAATGTGGTTTGTTCTTTAATTGTTTACACATTTTTTTAAATATTTTTTCTATTTTCTTGAATATGTGTTTGGGTTATTTATTTTTAATCTAATTAATATAACTAATGGTACAGAATGAAACATTAGCCTTTACAATTTTCGAGAAAATTAACTTCCGTACTATGAAATCTGTCAAACACAATCATATTACACCTCATTTTAAGTGGCGCCGCTGGTGGCAGAAAAATTATATCTGAACATAACATATAAACAAGTTGCCTCTTACTCCACAGAGACCAAAACTCCACGGAATATTAAGAACGGGCTCAATTTGTACCTGTTCTATCGTCAATGAACAGCTATTTCAAATTAAAAAAAAATCACTAATCTTTGTCAGACTCACTATGTTAGTTTTTGTCACCATAGATTAACCTTAGCTCAGCGCGCATCACACTGGACATACGAACACCTACTGGTCATTCTACCAACGAGTTAAGAGTTCAGTTTTCATAATTTTCTCATTTATTTAACATATGCTGAATTAATATGATATCACAGTTACATTTAAATGCATATAATAAAAAATCTGTGCGGCCTATTTTTTCATATTGGTAATAATAACGTAATGCATAATCTGTACATATTTATTTTATAAATACATAAAATAAATAATCTTTTGCATATATCACATTTAGAATATTACTATATTTATAATATTTTAACAACACCTGTGTTACTCACATCACTGGTCTATTCGTCATATATTGGACCTCAGTTTTAAATTGAAACTGGTGACCGGCACTGGCTTCGTGTGGTAATATACTGGCAAAGTCATTTGCGCAATGTTTGAAAAACTACGGCACCTCTTTTCCTGTGTTTTCTGAGACTAAAAAAAAACTGTGCATGTTGTTAAATATTTCATAAAAATGTAATAACTACATAATTACATTTTTAGGTGCCTGGAGCAAGTAGAGGAAGTTATTCAAAAGTACCAGAAAAAGTGTATTCCTGTAGCGGGAATGATCATAGAACCAATACAAGCAGAGGGTGGGGATAATGAAGCCTCCCCAGATTTTTTTAAAAACCTTCAGAAAATATGCAAAAAAGTAAAAGTTTTAACTATTTATTATAACTATAGTTTAATATTATCTTCGGTTGTGTCGATTGTCCCATTACTCCTGTTGTAAAAACACAAGAAAAAGTAAGAAAACCGTAGGCGATAATTACTATTTTTTTAAGATGTGATATTAATTAACAAAGTTGACGTGTTTTTGATATACGCTCCTAAGTCTAATGCTGGACTTGAGGTTCGCCCGTTGTTGGCGGATTTGCCTTAAGGCGACACTTCGAAAAAGTTGCTCCGGGCTATCGCCGTACTGATCCGAGTGAATACATAATTTCTATAAAAACTTAAAAAACGTCGTCATAAGGTCTAAAATTGCGCAACGCCCGCGACGATTAAGACTGCTTAGAAACTGTCAGAATCTTAAAATATTTTTCAAAAATTATTGATTTAAGTAATCAAAGCAAGTAAATTATGTATGTTGATGTTATGAATACATATATTTGAGTTATTCCCAAGCATATAGATTAAGTAATTTCGTTGTAATTTCAACTACTGTGATTTTTTAGAGGTGTTTTCGCAAATAATTATGATCGAGTCAAAATTATACAATCGTGAATTTACCGATATCAAAATTTCACCTTCGTTGGTGGTGTCATGGTCCTATACCACGGTAATATTATCTATACAGCATTGTAACTCGGCCATATATTTGAAATAAATGCCTACAGCAGCGCGCTACGTAAACATGTGCGATAGGGCTGCCTGCCTCCAGCATTTATACATTTGCCTACTTTGTGTTTCCATTTAGTTTTATGATTGTAAATACACTTTTTTATATAAACAAATATAATATGTACTTTGTGAATTGAATAGGAAATGTTCAATAAAAATGCGTGTCGTTTTTTGATTGGTAGATTTAATTAAAAAACCATGTTTATGTTTGAATAACAAATTGGTCTTATGAATTTGCGACCGCAAAATATTTGCGCCTCGGCTGAGACGTACGAAATGTTTTATTATTAAATTTTTAAGTATAAATCCGCATTCTAATATAAAGCTTAATTAAAAATTGTTTTGGGAAACATGAACAAGGTGGAGAAAAGGAATATCTTTTACTTGGATAAAGAGGTATCTATAACCAAGTAAAAGATATTTTACAATTTATATGTTTTGTTTTAAATGAAGTTCGGATTTATTATTTCTTTATTTCTATTCTATTATTTATTTCCTCCATTTTTATATATTCCACAAAATCATCACTGCGGCACAGTCACGGCTGTCTGCATGCCGAGCGCATGCCGAGATCGAGGCGCGTAGGCATAGTTCTCACTTCGTCCGTTTGTATGAAGTTAGAATACTGTTAAAATTACCGTGTCTATACTATTCGATGAAAGGAGGTGAATTTTGCGCGGTGTCGCCTTAGCCGCGACGCAGAACCAAATTGAATAATTGGTTCTCCATGTTGAAAAATAAAGAAGACATAGTATGATTCGATAGAGCGACGATCTGCTAAAACAAGAAGGAAGTTGTTTCAGTTTTTTTTTTTTGTAATTTTATGTGGTAGAGCTACGCTGCAGATATATTATGGTTGTAGCACGAATGGGTCGGCCAACCGTGGTAGGATCACGCTTGTAAAATAGCACGCAGAATATAAGCTTAATGTTGCTGTGTTTCGTTTGGTGAGTGTAGAGAACTGGAGACTCTTTTTACTGGAAATGAGGCATTCCATCTCAGTCCTCAGGGGAGACAACACATCTGCATTTTGATTATTAGGTTAGTATAAATGTAGGTGTCTACGGACTACAGCATCCACTTACCATCAGGTCGACTGTGTACTCATTTGTCACCTATATTCTATATTTAAAAAAGTAGTAAGTTGTTCAGGATGGTGTTTTATGGCATTCGTTGGAGGAGGCCTATGTTCAGCCGTGGACTTTTGAAGAACTGTAATGATGGTGACAATGATTTAAATCAACATTATAGTTTTAAAAGAATATTTTTAACAGCCTCAAACTATATTAAAATACGATAGCTTCACCTATTTATACTTTAAAAAAAATTCAAACTCCCAATAATTGTAGAATATTATGTATATAGCAGGGCTGGCGATCCTAGTAACAACTAGTTGTCACAATCAACATCGATCAGGGAACATTATAGACATAGTTTACGGGTGATTGTGTTAATAATATTAATCATTATGTTGCAGAATGGCATTGCCCTCATTATTGATGAGGTACAAACAGGCTGCGGCCCGACCGGCAAGATGTGGTGTCACGAATACTTTGACTTACCTTCACCACCTGAAATCGTTACTTTCAGTAAGAAAATGTTAACAGGCGGATTCTATTTTAGCGAAGAATTCATGTAAGTTTAATTATAACCTAAGTTACAGCTCGCAGTGTACTGTTGGCACAGAAAAGGACCGTGTAGAAAGCTGAATGTTTCTTTGCTTAGCGTTTGGAGACATTATCAATTTAATTAAAAGTGTGGGTACTTTAAGTAACTATATTATACTTTGAGTAAACAATTCTTAGAAATACAGTTGTGGACATAATATAATTGGAAACACTACGTATGAATTTCGTAGTACAAGTTAATTTGAAAGTTAATGTTTCACGTATTTTGGAGGGCCACATTACGAGTATGAAGTACTCAAAGTACTCTTAAGTACTCGTATGAAGTATTATGTCGGTTTTGGAAATTTCATATAACCGTTTATTTAGAAATAAGTATATTTTATAAAATAAAACGTAGCAAGACAAAGTACTAAGTTGAACTCCTAAAAAGAAACCGCAAAAGAATATTAGCATAGATATGAACAGTTTATACAATAACAAATTATGTTTTTTACTAGTACAAACATTTGAATAAAAAACAGTTACTTAATATTTGTTTGGGAAGAATCGGCCGTTTATTACAGCTCAACAACGACAAGGTATTGATTCTCCCAAGTTTTATAAATTTTATAAGTTTTATAAATTTTATAAGTTTTATAAATTTTATAAGTTTTATAAATTTTATAAGTATTATAAGTTTTACAAATTTTAAAAGGAATATACAATAAACCATCGAACGATATTCTTAATTTTATTATGTCAAGATAGTGAAGAGTTCGTGACAATTAGTGAATTGAGAATAAAATGGTGACTCAATAATTTAGTAGATATTATAGCCCTATTTTAGGGAATTCTAGCTTGAATTTATGCAAGCGGCCTCCCCACAAAAGCTCCAGTATTGTCTGGATCCAATAATGCGATTCCTATTTCAAGATATACTGACTAATTGTTGAAGAACTATATCTCCTAAATATTCCATGTAGTCATGGTGTAAGAGTATCCACTACCCCAAATCGTACCGTGGGTGTCGTAGAGGGAAACGAACCAGGAGACGGGTAGCAGCGTCTTCATAATAACATCTTAAAAAGTACTTTTTTTTTACCCGCTAGCCAAGCGGGGCTACTACGGAGAATATCTTTCCTATAAGAGTAGTGGACTTAATACCGTTATGGTCGCCACACACGGTCAGTTCAACTGATCATTCCAACTGATCAGTTCAAACTAAAACAGTTGATATTTTTTAAAATATCGGATTTTCGATATATCGATCATTATATATATTGATGAGTGGAGTGATTAAAAGGCCAGGAGTGTTTAAAAGGAATATTAGTAATATTAATTAATAAGATTACTAATATTTTTTAATAAAAAAAGATTAATATCGTAGTTTTACATATAAGTTTATGCGGGGATATATCGAAAATCCAATATTTAAAAAAAATATCAACTGTTTTAGTTTGAACTGATCAGTTGGAATGATCAGTTGAACTGACCGTGTGTGGCCACCATTACATTAAGGGTACACAATACGGTACCGATATATTCACTTAATTTTATTTTAGTTACTAATTACTACCAATCCCTCACTAAATTCAGGATATCGTCTAGAGGATTCTGGCTTAAAAAGACACAAATATTTGATTGGATTTAGACCCAGACTATTTGCAGGGCGCTATAACACTTATACTACTTAATTAGTCTTTCAGAAATGCTTTACCGCTTGAACCAATGTCGTGTTGAAATATTAAAGCAAGTGGTAAATTTTCATCGAAATGAATCGTATAATAATCTTTTAACTAACTACTACTCGTACTATTAAAATAATTTCACTTAAATCTACTTACTAAAATAATTTAATTTAAATACGACAAAATTTGATCTTATTTACTCAACCTTTAAATTGTCGCAAGCAAGAACGAGAGTGTTCACTTTCTGATTTGTTGGTTAAAATGCCATTTAAAATACTTTATAGCATTTATATTGATTTGTTTAAATCAGTGAAGATGTTACAATTATTTGCAGGCCGCTACAACCTTATAGAATTTTCAACACTTGGATGGGAGATCCGGGAAAATTAATCCTATTAAAGCAAGTGCTGACAGTCATTAAAAATGATAATCTAATTAGTCAGACACAAGAAACCGGAAAGTATTTGAAGGAAGGTCTTCACCAGTTGGAGAACGAGTACCCTAATATTATTAACAGTGTTCGAGGACGCGGCACATTCTTAGCTTACAACGCACCTACCACTGAGCTTAGAGACAAGATTAATATCACTTTAAAGAAAAACGGTTAGTGTTACATCGTCATATTTTTGAAATAATTGATTTCGAATGGAATAAATGACAAAACTATTATACTAAAATTTTTAATGTAATGGAATAACAGGAACAATACTTTTAAATATGACAATTTTAATTAGAAAAATTGGATTATGCCCAGTAAAAGTAAAAAAGTACAGCCTGTAATTTTTTACTTTTACTGGGCATATGTGGGTTATGACCATAGAATACTATAATACACAATAGAATGGCTGTTAACCTTATTTTGTACAAGGATTGGCGTCGCCAAACCCGATTCGCTGTGTTGACAGATTGAGTAAATTTACACATTTTAGACTTTTAATTAATGTTCAAGATCATCGTTAAAAAATTTTTTTGGCATTTTCTAAATAATTTGTATGCGAAATTTGGAAATGATTGTAACGTCAAAAAACATCTCGTGTTGACATTTATACGTGTGAATTGACATGTTAGTGACATTTTAGTGGCTACGCGGGCTCCGACCACTCCCCCGTTCTATTACGTATGCATAATTGTATTCTACGGTTATGACTTATGAAGCAATTAGTTCGCTGCATTGCACCAGTACGTGTTTGCGATTTATTTTTCTCTGAAACTGAGTTGATAAACTAAGATAAGAGTCCACTGCAGTTAGTGGACCTGTAGCAAATTTTAATGAAGAAGGCTACAGATACGTTGTTACTTGTAATTATAATGATTCTCTGTACTCTTCAGACTGGAACACCACAGTCCAAGCACTACTCTTTGGCGGCAGAGATATGTTAGAGGATGGTATACCCCACACAGACTCGTAGGTGAAAAAGGAGTCCTACCATCTTAACTTTTATCTTTAAACGTTTTATTCCTCAAACATTCGAGTTTCAGTCTTTTTCATACCCACCGAGAACGTGGTAAAATCAGCAGTCAGCACTAAAATTGTAATTTATAACGTCATCGTTGCTGGTAGAGTTCGCACCAGATTCGTATTTTCTTTCGGATTCGGATTTTTTTAACACCAGTGATATAGTAAGCTAAATATCATTATTAATTTCATTTCAGGTGTGCTCAGTGGAGTGTGCGGTGAGAAAGCGATCCGCATTCGACCGGCTTTGATATTCGAAAAGAAACACGCAGAAATATATTTGGATACTCTGAGGAAAATTTTCAAAGAGTTTTAAATATGTGAAAATGGCAACAATTTTCCATTGCATTTACAAGACTTTTCACAGTATTACTAGGATTTGCGTATTCATTTGTTTTTATCCGCAGTACTGTATATTTAGGTAATATGCAACAAAAGCACAATTTAATCGTGATGTAGTTTCAAAACAATATGATAGTAATTGAAAACGTCTAAGAACGTCTGTATAAGCATGGTCTGATTTAAGATTGTGTATCATACTATAACAAATGATTTTCAAAAGTATTTTACTGTATGTTATAATTTTAGTACGTACCGCTATAATGATATTGTATGCCTCAAAAAAGTCTTCCATTAAGTATAATAAATGAGTACTGTACTGTAATACTTTCCTTGTGTACTGTATATTCAATATACTCCTCTATTACTTTTTTGATTGAACGTGTGGGGCAAATATTTTAGTAACGATTTTATATTGGAGGACAAATTCTCACAATTTTATTGTTGTTAGCAGAAATCTAATCACAAAGTGGGGTTAGGACTCTATTTTAAAACGTTTATTTCAGCTCCATGGAATGACAGTGTTCTGTTCTCCATACTGTGCGTCGTCTACACAGGCAGTTTCTTTCGTAAACCGTGTTTTGTTAGATTTTTTTATTATTAGAGAAAGTACAGATCGTAAAACCCACCTAATGATTAGCGGCTATTGCAGTCCATGTATGAAATTGTTTTTTTTTTCTCTAACCTACCCAAAAAGCAAAAAAAAAAACAAAGATGCGTTGTCACCTACAAAGACTAGGATTAAAGTGCTGCATGGCTTATCGTCGAATTAAATTGTCCAATTTAAAAAAAAATTATATACTTAAAGTAACGACCATTATTTTGCCATTAAAAGGCAAAAATGCATCGAATAATAATAGTCATCGACAAATAAGTTCATTGATGCGTCTATTACTGCTGCTACTTCTCTTCTTATGCATCAGCCCATAATACTACACTGCTGGACATGAACATCTTCCTTTGTAAGGAGAATTTGTCTTAATCGACATGCTAGGCGAGCAGATTGAAACTTATTTTTGCATTATGAATAATTTTCACCGTTTCTGACAGACAATACGACGACTGGCTTTTGTAGTGTCTCGCTAACTATATTTATGGTGCTTAAGACGAGGTCTTAGCACGATTTCAAATTCGTTTTTCACCCGCGCGTCCCGCAGTGGGCGGAGCGAAACCGGCAGTCGGAGAGCGCAGCGTGAACACAGTATGCGCAAAACAAACAGACATTCACCTCCAAACAAAAACTTTTCCGTGAGGCCTTCTGTTCGCAACACTACTAGGTATTAGTGTAATAATATTTTGAGTACCTACTCACTAATATAAAAACTGTTTACGAGGTCTGGAGCCTGGACATCATACTACATTTTAATTATCAATATTTTTTAAAGTCAGTTTTATTATATGAGCAATTACTTAGTCAACTATTTAAATAGATATACATTTAAAACGCCAACTCACAAATTCTAAAAAAAAAAAAAACAAGTTTCGTTGGCAAAATAGCTAAAATAAGAGATAAAGAATAGTTTCAAATAAAACCACTTGAAAATTCAAATTTATTTTACTGTTTTGTATTACCTTACCTCCGGACTTGACGGAGTGACCTGAAGGTGTACTTTAGCAATCGCTATTGGAACTGATCGCCAAGTACTACTAGGTATGCCGAGTTTGGGCCCGTTTTGTTAGGTATGATGAGTCCTTACCTCCGGACTTGACGGAGTGACCTGAAGGTGTACTTTGGTAATCGCTACTGGAACTGGTCGCCGAGTACTACTAGGTGTGTCGAGTTTGGGCTCGTTTTGTTAGGTATGATTCTTGCCTCCGGACGTGACGGAGTGACCTGAAGGCGTACATAAGTAATCGCTATTGGAACTAGTCGCCAAGTACTACTAGGTATGCCGAGTTTGGGCACGTTTTGTTAAGTACGATGAGTTCTTACCTCCGGACTTGACGGAGTGACTTGAATTTATACTTTAGTGATCGCTATTGGAACTGGTCGTCGAGTACTACTAGGTGTGCCGAGTTTGGGCTCGTTTTGTAAGGTATGATGAGTTCTTACCTCCGAACTTGACGGAGTGACCTGAAGGTGTACTTTTGTAATTGCTATTGGAACTGGTCGCCGAGTACTACTTATAGGTGTGCCGAGTTTGGGCTCGTTTTGTTAGGTATGATGAGTCCTTACCTCAGGACTTGACGGAGTGACCTGAAGGTGTACTTTAGTAATCGCTATTCGACCTGGTCCCCGAGTACTACTAGGTGTGCCGAGTTTGGGCTCGTTTTGTTAGGTATGATGAGTCCTTACCTCCGGACTTGACGGAGTGACCTGAAGGTATACTTTGGTAATCGCTATTGGAACTGGTCGCCGAGTACTACTAGGTGTGTCGAGTTTGGGCTCGTTTTGTTAGGTATGATTCTTACCTCCGGACGTGACGGAGTGACCTGAAGGCGTACATAAGTAATCGCTATTGGAACTGGTCGCCAAGTACTACTAGGTATGCCGAGTTCTTAAAAATCTTAACGTAAATACTGCGGCAAAAAGAGCGACACGTCCAGACACGTCTCTACAACACCAGGCCTCGGCCGACAGCATAGATTACTGTATATATACTAGGCCGACAGTGACTCTGCAGTCTGCACAGGCGTTTACGCAAACATCCGTACTTATTATTTCAGAAATAAGAAAATGCTATTTAAAAAAAACTATTATTTGGACTAAAACATCAAAACACTATAACGTTAATATGTTGAATGTATAAAAATCTGACAAAAAATCAGAATGATTGCATGTATATGGTTTTACTCGTTAAAAGAAATTTTTAGAGGTATGTTTGTGATTTTTTTCTGTCATATTAAATTAGTGGTATAATGTTTTCAACACACTATCTGACTAGCATATATCCTGGACAATATCATTTATTTTTCTGGGTTTGTTTACTGCAGTGAATCATATACTTTGAGGCATTATAAAACTTGCATTTAGCGTCATGCCTCGTCTTAAAATTTTAAACCAAATAAGCAGATAGCAGATGAATTTAAACGACTTGATTTTTGCCAGCAATTAATTTGCATTGTTTCTTGACTCAACGTCTTTGCTCCTATCGGAATATATGATAATCAAGGCATTTTACACAATAAAACGTAGAGTTTTGACTGCTTCAACCCTGCTCTCCCATCGAGTACTTAAGAGTGGCTTTATACTTAAAGTTGGCATTCTTTAGCAAGTATTTGCCAATTTTAACTTAATACTTAAAAGACTTATGATTTATAGGACGAGGATGTTATTAGGAAGAAAATTGTTTATTGAAAAGGAGAGGCTAGGGCAGTTAAAAAATGTATGATCGATCGTACCTTCGTCTAGTCCGCACTGACAAATTTAACTATCTCTAATCTTAAATTTTGCCAAAACTACAGGTGAAACAGTGTGTCCCAATCTAATTCTACATATAACAGATGTACTATGTGTGGAGCCGTTCCTGAATTTAAAAAACCATGGTTTGGAGGGGATGTCAGGTTGGAGTTAATTCGAATCTAACATCTGAGGGATATTCGCAAGAGAAAAAGGTCAAGAGTATAATTACGTTAAGCACGGTTTAGACAAAGCCAATAACGCTGGCGCCAGTCCTCAGACAAGCCAGCGCTGGCCTAGCCCGTGTTGTTTAGATGAGGCCAAATGGATTCATTTCATTCCTAGATTATTCTTGCAAATTGTTATATTAAATTAATGATTTTTTGAACTTTAACTGAAAAATAATGTTTATAATACATCAATTATAGGAATGTGTACAATATTACTAGTAAAAATTTTATTTTGGAATATTACAAATTATTTATTGTGGCGCGGAGATTGCGGGGCTCGCGGGCGAAGGTCACTGGCTTGAAAAATAGGCAGGCGCTCTATTCCCGCCCGTGCTGGCAGCCGGCACTGGCTTGTTTAAAAAACTGTTTATACGAGGCCAACAGCCAACATTGGCTTCCTCTAAACCTTGCTTTATACCTATAATGTAGGGTATAGGGTATAATGGTGGGTACCGGAAGTAGATGCTTGTTTTGCCAAGGAATCAACAATTTCGTTGTCACGTATGCCACTACGACTTAGCAGCCAAGCGAGTTTCAAGTTAATACCTTAAAAAAAGAAACATCTATACAATGCATCTTTTATTTTAAAAATAATTGGAAATTTGGATTTACTTCGAAAAGGGTTATATAAAATCCTTTATAATGAACTATGAGTCAGTAAAAACAGTACATTTGTTAGTTTTGTGCGCTTCTATGAATAAAATTGCTTCCAAAATTGCAAATGCACCAGTTAAAATTGAAGTAGCACTTGGATTTTTTAAATTTAAAACAATTTTATATTTTGATATCCAGACAGCTGAAGACTATTATCAGAATGCTTAGAGGTGTCAGTAAAAAGGTTTGACCCTTCTCATGTTTCGCGTAATCTGTGTATACTGTCTGTGTATGTATAATAAATCTGTAGAGAGGTCAATTCTGTACATGAAATATATTTCCAAAATAACTATCAGGGGGTGATTAGTGATCGATACTGATGCCAAAAATGCAAACAGTAACATTTTTGTCTCTCTGTCTGTCTGTCTGTATGTTCGTTATAGAAACATAAACTACTTGACGGATTTTAACGAAACTTGGTACAATTATTCTTCATACTCCTGGGCAGGTTATAGTATACTTTTCATCACACTACGATCAATAGGAGCAGAGCAGTGAAGGGAAATGTTGGGGAAACGGGAGAAATTACTCCATTTTTTAAGCTTCCGTCGCGTGTGCAGCCTTAATGATTAAAGCTACACAGAAATCATGTATAACGGAAATTTTCTTCTTAAAATTATATAAAAAATATCCCACGACAGCATATGTCTACCTTTTATGGTTGACTCACAATAACACGTGTAACTCCCGATAGCTTAGCAGTTCGAAGCTTTCTGATTATATTTGTCTACTCTTACGTTTATAACACTCTCA